TTCCCTGATCTCCCCCGTTAGGCACGCGTCCGCGCGGGCCGCCACTGGGCGCAGTGGCGCCACATGCGTGAAAAAGCCAGCGAGGCGTGACATTACGCCGCAGCCCGCACAAGATACATTAGCTGCCCTGCTGGCCCATGCCGAGCTCTCTGAAGGGTGGAATAAGAACAGATGGATATAAAATGGCAGGAGCAGGAGCAGGAGACGGCTCGAGCAGGAGACGGCTTGAGCTTGAGACGCGGGAACGCACAGCGAGCGATGCAAAATGCACTAGCGAATTCCTGCCGTCGCGAGCGCGCGCCCCGAGAGATCCGCGCACCAGAAACCCATTCAACGCAGCCAAAACAGATGGCGCGGCGGCAGCCCACGCATGCCGCAGCGCCAGCCACGGTGCGCCGGCGGCCACCAAAACCGAGGCGGGGGGACGGCTGTGCCGGCACCCGCCCCACCAAGATATGGCCGCCACCACACCGCCACCGCGCGAAGAACCGCTGCTTCTTTGCAGCGCCGCACCCTGGTTCAGAAGGCGAGACCCCGCTCTGGAGGCGTCACACGATGCCCCGCACTAGTTCAGCACATGGCAGGACTGCGCCTGCGACCACGCGGTGGCCAGGTAAACCACTATGTGCGCGGTCACGCTGTTGATCACCATAACATACACACTGTTGCGGTGAGGCACCCCGTCGCGGCCAAACATCGACGCAGGACCAGCGCGCGGCACGTTGCGCCCGACGGTTGCGCGCGCGCATGACACGAGAAAGTCGCAGGAGTAAAGCAGCACCGAGCCAGCGCCGCAGATCGCCGCGGTCGTCGTCTGGATGCCCATGGCTTTCAGCACGAACGCACACCCTTCCTCGAAGGCGACTCGACATAAAAACGGTAATTGTACAGGCGATGGTGGCGATTGCACAGGCGATGGTGGCGATGGTGGCGATTATCACAGCATCTCCCGCGCCTCGCGACATGCTTCCAAGTGCATCGCTTGCGCCGGCAGCGTGCTGTCACACAAGATAGCGCACACCGCGAAGATGAACCCCGTGAACAGGTTCCACCCCAAGATGCCGTAGCGCACTCCGCTCGAGCCGGACCCTTGGTTCGTGCAACGCAAATGGTCGGTCGGCGGGCATATCCCCATGTGCTCGAAGCACCACTTGCAAGACACGTTGTGGGCCGCGCGATGGCCACTTTGCGATGGGCCCACGAGATCGCAACGGGCGCGACAATCGGCGGACCCTTCCGCACACGAGACAGTGATGCCGTCACACTCGTGCGAACCTGGGTGGCACCCCAAATTGCCTGTGCACTTGCGGCGACGTCGCAGCTGAACGCATTGGGAAGCCCACGCATGCTGGGCCACCTCATTCTGCTCGGGCAGGTTGAGGTAGTAGCAAGCGTTCCCTTTGCTGGTGACCAACGAGCACTGCGCAAACTCCTTCGGACACTGGTGTGGGCACCAGCTGAGCACATTGTCACCCACATCGCCTGGAGTCGTCGTGGACGTGGTGCCACCAAGGACGGACATGTCCACAGTCGGGTACGCACCGTGATCGTGCGCAGTCACGTTCGGCAAGACGGCGGCGAACCCGGGGCCACGCACCAGACGCTGCTGCCCTGACCAAGCCGGCAGCGAGGCCGGGAGCGGCCCCCAAGGGAGCCACCGTGGGGTGGTGTTCACCGTCACCCCGTCGTGGCCAGCGTCGATCGTGCCGCTGTCCAGCCCGAGCACGACCGGCTTCGCGAGGAAGCCCTCACCCTCGCCCACCGGCGCAGCCGGGAACATGCCAGCAGCCATGGCGGGTTGCACCACGAAGCGGTAAAACCCGCTTGAGAGTATCACCACCCAGGCACGAGCCGCCCGTGGGGCGCCCAACCACATCGTGGCTGGCGCCCTGGCGGCCCACACCACGCTGCGCGGCCAGCAGTGCTTGATGCATGGTCGCCATGACTGCCACAGTGGCTTGCGAGCGATCACATTCATGGCCATCATCGTCCTCAGCGACACCACCACCCTCACAAACATCCATCCCATCCTATTGCCAAGTTTCCTCTTCCGCGCCCGCATCCTCATTCTCACCCACCCCCTTGTTCCTCTCCCTTCTCCTCATCTTCGTCCTTTCCGCCCCACCCCCCGCGAGCTCATCCTCTTGCTCCTGGGCCTATTCCTCCCCACCAGCATCCTCATCAGTATCCTCGTCCTCCCCTCACCCACCCTCCAATCATCCTCAGCCCGCTCGTCCGCCCAGCTGCTCCTAATAATCCGGACGCCACTAACAACAACAAGAGCAACAATAGCAAAAACGACAACAACAACTACTTCTACTACTACTGCAACTACCACCACTAGTACTACTACTACTACTACTACTACTACTACTACTACTACTACTACTACTACTACCACGACGACGACGACGACGACGACGACGACGACGACGACGACGACTACTACTACTACTACTACTACTACTACTACTACTACTACTACTACTACTACTACTACTACTACTACTACTACTACTACTACTACGACTACGACTACGACTACGACTACGGCTACTACTACTACTACTACTACTACTACTACTACTACTAACTACTACTACTATTACTACTACTACTACTCTACTACTACTACTACTACTACTACTACTACTACTACTACTCCTACTACTACTACTACTACTACCTACTCTACTACTACTACTACTACTACTACTTACTACTACCTACTACTACTACTACTACTACTACTACTACTACTACTACTACTACTACTACTACTACGCTACTACTACTACTACTACTACTACTACTACTACTACTACTACTACTACAAATACTACTACTACTACTACTACTAACTACTACTACTACTACTACTACTACTACGACTACTACTGCTACCACCACCACCACCACACTACTACTCCTACTGCTACTACTACTACCTACTACTATGCTACTACTACTATTACTACTACTACTAACTGCTGCTACTACTACTACTACTACTACTACTACTACTACTACTCTACGACTACTCTACTACTACTACTACTACTACTACTACTACTACTACTACTACGACGACTAAACTACTACTACTAACTACTACACTAACTATACTACTACTACTACTACTACTACTACTACTACTACTACTACATCTACTACTACTACTACTACACAACTACTACTACTACTACTACTACTACTACTACTACAACTACTACTACTACTACTACTACTACTACTACTACTACTACTACTGATACTACTACTTCTGCTACTACTACGACTAGGGCTGACCTCCTTCTACTACGACTATTAGTGTTACTACTACTACTACCACTACTTCTACCACTAACACTACCAGGACCACAACGACGACACCTACTACTACTACTACTACTACTACTACTACTACTACTACTACTACTTCCGCTACTACTACTTCTGCTACTACTACGACTAGGGCTGATCTCCTTCTGTTTGCCCAAGTAATCTGGTGTAAGGAATGTAAGGAGTGTGGTGAAGATTCTGTGCCGCGGACGCACCGTGAGCGTTTCGTATATGGTTCGCTACTACTACTACTACTACTACTACTACTACTACTACTACTACTACCACTACTACTACTACTACTACTACTACTACTACTACTACTACTACTACTACTACTACTACTACTACTACTACTACTACTACTCCTACTACTAACTCCTACTACTACTACTACTACTACTACTACTACTACTACTAGTACTACTAACTACTACTACTACTACTACTACTACTACTCCCCTACTACTACTACGACGACTACTACTACTACTACTACTACTACTACTACTACTACTACTACGACTACTGTCATCACGAGTCCAACTACTTCTACTACCACCTCTACGGCCACGACTACGACCACCACTACTACTACGACTACTAGTACTGCCACTACAACGACGACGACTATTACCACTACTACCACTACTACGACTACCACTACTACTAGTATGACCACCACTACTACTACTACTACTACTACTACTACTACTACTACTACTACTACTACTACTACTACTACTACTACTACTACTACTACTACTACTACTACTACTACTACTACTACTACTACTACTACTACTACTACTACTACTACTACTACTACTACTACTACTACTACTACTACTACTACTACTACGACTACTACGACTACTACCAGTACCACCACAACTACCACTACTACTACGAATACTACTACTACTACTACTACTACTACTACTACTACTACTACTACTACTACTACTACTACTGCTACTACTACTACTACTAGGTAACGGATTCCCCTGGGTAGTGCTCTTGGGTTTTTTTTTTTTGGAAGGAGTACGCGCGCGCGTGTCTGTGTCTCACTCTCTCTCTCTCTCTCTCTCTCTCTCTCTCTCTGTCTCTTCCTCTTTCTCTATCTCAGTCTCTCACTCTCCCTCTCTCTGCCCTCCCGCGCGTGGACGCCCGCTCCGCCGCCAGGGGGGCGGTGATTGTAGTGGGGTGTTCCTCATCGTTCGGGGTGGTGGGGGGGGGGGGGCGCCCAAAAAAAAAAAAAAAAAAATCAAGTTGAAAATTCAAGAAGATTTTCTTTTCTTTTTTTGGCGCCCCCCCCCCCCCCCCTCCCGCCACGAGTCGGCCATCACAAGCGGCGCTGGCCGCAGTGGGGCGGCAGCAGGCCTGCACGGTTCCAGGCCGCTGGTGAATGACCCCGCGCACTCCAGGGGGGGGGCGCTCCAGGGGCTCGCGGGGAAGAGCGATGCGATCGAGGCGCGTGGAATTGCCATCGCATCGCATTGCATTGCGTCCGCATTGCATTGGCATCGCAATCGCATTGGATTGCATTGCGTTGTATTCCCCCTTTCCGTTCCTGGCCCCGGCGGGGGATCTGAGGCAACGGCGACGACGACGACGACGACGGCGACGGCGGCGGCGACGACGACGACGACGACCGCAGCCATCTTCGGCCCAGGTCTTTCGAATTCAGACATTCGCTATCGTTTTTTGGTCCCCCATGGGGAAGCGCTGCCAGCAGCCGACCTGCTCCTTCGGCGTCAATGGCAGGCGGGCGCTGGTCAAGGTGGCTGGCCCCTGCGGGCTCTGCCGCGGACCCATGGCGTTCGTGGCCGCCGGCGCACGCGCCCGGTCGCAGATCGTCCGCGCATTGCGGAAGCAGCAGCGCCCTCGCATCGATGCTTGGGTAGCCGGGCTCCCGGCGGAGTGGCGCGACGGCGTCCTGGCCGCCGTGGCCGCTGAACCGGATGATGCGGCAGATGAGGCCGAGGACGTGGACGAGGCTGCCGTGGCCGCTGAACCGGTTCTGCACCAAGGCGCCGCGGCGTCGCCCGTGGCCGAGGCCGCTGCCGTGTCTTCTGCCGTGGCCGCTGAACCGGTTGTACATCCCGCAGCCGCGGCGCCGCCCGTGGCCGAGGCTGCTGCCGTGGCCGCTGAACCAGTTGTACATCCGCCTCCGCCGCCGCCGCCGCCTTCGTCGGGCACAGAGATCCTGGACCAAGGCCACTTTCCATTTTGTTCATTGTACGCATGGAGCTACTGCGTCGCGAAGGCGCTGGGCCTGAAATATGGGATAGGCGTGGAGCCACAGCAGCTACTGAACGAGGCGCTGAGGCATCGTGCACCACACAAAGCTCAGTGGCCTGGCGACCTATGCAGCAGCATGGGCAATAACGGCGGCGCGTACTGGTGTCCTCGTTCGCGGGCGGTGGGGTAGGGGGTGCTCGTCGCCGCGGGTGGGCGCAGCTCGAGGATTCTGTCTCGCGCGAGCGTCGGGGGGCAATGCTGGGCCCGTGCCCAGCGAGCGCGGACACCTGCACGTGGAGCCGAAGAGCTGCTCGTCAATCTCCCAGACATCATCATAGAACTGCGCGCCTGTGCTCGCAAGACACGGGACTTCACGCAGGCAGCGCGGCAGGTCCGTAATCAGAGTGGCTGGCACCTGACAGCCATCGTGGGCGCGATTGACCCGCCCCCCAGATCGCACACCATGGTCGGCATGTCTTGGACGCGCGCAGATGACTTGCAGTGCCAGAATTCATGGGGCAGAGGCAGGCTGAGCGACCCTTATTCTCGAGCCACGCTCCCCGCCGCCGCCCCCTGCCCTCCCCACCGACGACGACGACGACGACGAAGACGACGACGACGACGACGACGACGACGACGACGACGACGTAGAGTAAGGCACGACGACGAGCGGCGCGGGAGAACGAGAGGGGACGAGACAATGCCTAGGCGCCTGGGGGACCACACGTCGGTTCAGCGGACCCGAGGGTGACCAGACAATCGTTCGATAGTGCGTGGTTCTTTGACCCGCAGATCTCAGCATGCTGGAAGCCGGCAGAGAACAATCGGGTGGATCGCTGCCCAGCCCCGGAGATTGATGCAGAGTGGTTTCATATCCTGCCGGCTAGGTGGGACAGGGCTTGATCGCCCGCTCCGCCAGCATCTTCGCCTCGTGTGTATTGTTTTTTTTGCATTGAATCATGCCGCCAGCATCTTCGCATCTTGCTGTGCTCTTTTTTGCATTGTATCATGCCGCCAGACGCAGCCCCGCGGCAGATAAGAGATCATGCCGTCAGTCGCAGACCCAACGCTGCCGCCAGACGCAGCCGCCGCATCCGATAGAAAATATTTGTCCTCCCAGGAACGCCGCCAAGCAGGGCGCCCAAGGAGTAGAGGAGGAGGGGGAGGAGGAGGAGGAGGAGGAAGAGGAGGAGGAGCGGAGGTCAATGGACCTGCGGTTTTTTACCTCCAGGGATCCGGGGATGCTTGGGGCCCAAGGAAAGGGACCGTGGTTTTTGTTTTTGGACGATGTGTTTTCTATCTTCCTGTCTCGCCAGAAGCCTTCGGAGGCCCCCCGAGCCAGGAAAAACCAACACTGGGCGGCGATTTCGGTGAGGATCTGACGTTGGGGCCGTTTGTCCTGCCCGAGTGCCTGGCGCGGCTTGGCGGCCGCCCTCGTCGAGGCAGGGTTGTGGGGCAGCCTGCGCGAGGGTCCTGCAGGAACGGGGATGGGGGGAGGAGCAGGAGAAGGAAGAGTTGGAGGAGGAGGAGGAGGAGGAGGACGAGGAGGAAGGAAAGGAGAGGAGGAAGACGGCGGAGTGGAGGGGCACGAGAGCCACAACGGACCCACAACAGGACCCACAAGAGGACCCACAGCAGAACCACAGCAGGACCGACAACAGGAACCAAAAACAGGAACCAAAACGGAACCACAACAGGAACCACAACGGAACCACAAAAGAACCAAGGGGGACCAAAGAGAGAAAAAGGGGGACCTATAGGGGGACCAAAGGGACCAAAGGGGGACCAAAGAGGGACGAAAGGGGGACCAACGGATGGGGGGACCAAAGGGGGACCAAAGGGGGACCAATAGGGGGACCAAAGGGGGACCAACGGATGGGGGGACCAAAGGGGGACCAATAGGGGGACTAATAAGGGGACCAAAGGGGGACCAATAGGGGGACCAAAGGAGAACCAACGGATGGGGGGACCAAAGGGGGACCAATAGGGGGACTAATAGGGGGACCAAAGGGGGACCAATAGGGGGACCAAAGGGGGACCCATGGGGGGGCCTTAGGGGGACCAATCACGGAACCACAGGGGAACCACAACAGGAAACACAACGGAAGGAGCCTCAGCGGAACCCGCAAAGAGAACCGTATCATGACCACAGCATGCGCGTACATGTTCCCTGTCCTCAGCTGTTTTGGCTCAACGCGCTCTGTTCCAAGACCTGGTCGTCCCGTGCTCTTTGCGCGGCCACCTGCAGTCCCCCAATGGCCTCACCCAGCGCAGCGGGCCCCTCGCCGCCGGCGGGCCAGTTCCGCCGTCTGAACACGGCGGTGGAGGGCCACTGGGACCTGACCTCCAGCGATGAGGAGAAGCCGACCCCCCCCGCCCGTGCCCAAGAGACTCTGACCCAGGCCCTCGGGGACATGCTGCAGAGGGGCGGCGTGGCCAGCCAGGCCCCGTCGCAGCCAGCTGACGCCGGGGCTCACGGGGGGGGCGCCGCCGACGGCCCAGGTCAGCCCTCCCCAAAGCGCCCTCGCGTGGAGGAGGAGCAGCCCACGACCATGGCGCGCTCTCTCTTGTCGGGGTCTGTTCCACGGGCCAGCGTCGTCGCGCCCCAGGCGGCCCCCGCGGCGCCTGCGGTTTCCGATTCGGGATCACCGCTCGACCAGGTGGCCAGGGTCCAGAAGTCCGTGCAGGACCTATATCCCACGGCGGGCAAGGAGAAGCAGGCGGTGCTGTCCATCCTGAAGTTCCTGTGCGAGGCGTCGATCTCGAACTATCAGATGAGCAACCGCCACAAGCTCTGCATTGTTCTATTCATCGACGGCGAGAATTGGCGCGCCCATTTCAAGCAGGTCTTCAGGTACTCGGACGGGTGCTGGGACCAGGCGCCCAGGTTCGATGCGAACGCCTGGGAGCTGCTCACCGCTACGGAGGGCCTGTTGGCAATGGTCGGCGGCGCAAACAGAGACCCCGGAGCGTTCGAGTGCGTGGCGTTCCAGCGGTCCCAAGTCCAGCCCGCGGCGGCAGGCTTCCTCACCAACGGCCCTGCGAACGTGATGCAGGGGCTGCGGGAGTTCGCCAAGGAGCAGTCCGCCGCGTTGCAGAAGAACACGAACAACAAGGTCTGGAAGGGCAACTGGGCGCTCCGCTGCGGCGAGATGATGGGCAGCTTTAAGAAGCAGTGGGACAGCGGCAGTCTCCAAGCACCACTCACGAAGCTGTTCCTCACGCACTGCGAGACGCCGAAGCCCCAGTCGAAGGGCGTCAAGTGCCTGGACGTCTACCTGGACGCCCAGTGGGACCCAGCTCCAGCTCATCGCGACAATGACTGCTACGCGAGGGTTCCGTGGAAGTACCACTGGACGCCCGCCGAGCTCGAGGCCGAGGGCATCGTTGAGGCGGAGTGGGCCGACCGCCTCGCCACTTTCCTCCAAGGCCTGTACTTCGACAACCACGGCGTGTTCCAACTCGAGCTGGCCGCCCTGCACCTTGCCTTTGCGCAGGTGACTTCTGCCAAGATGACATTCAAAATCGGCGGGGGCGGAGACGGAAAGCACGCCGAGTCACAGCTTCAGGAACACCTGTTCGGTACCAACCACGTGCACTACCTCGACTGCGGCGCCTTCCAAGACCGCAACGAGTGGCGCAAGGCTGGGGGGGACGCCTGGGCCATGAGTGCCGTGCGGGTCCAGGAGTGCGACGGGGGCGCCACGTTCCTGGGCGACATATGGAAGCGCTTCGTCGTGGATGAGGCGCTCACCTGCCGAGTGAACTATGGCTTCAACAGCAGTCGCAAGTTCGGCGAGTCCAAGAAAGACTTGGAGTTGAACTGGGAGAACATCCCGACCATCGAGTTCTCTGGGAGCAGCGAGAAGGCGCTGGTGCAACTGCAGCGCAGGATCATCTGCTGCCGCATGGGCCGCGCGCAGTTCGTGAACGACCCGAAGGACGTGGATCACTCCAAGGGGAGGTTCCTCAAGATCCCGCAGGCGGAGCTCGACCCCTTCCTCGCCCACGGGTTTACTTCGTGCTTGATGTTTCGGAACTGGTGCCGCCCCTTCTTCAAGAGTGCGGAGGGGTCCATCCCCAACTGCCTGCGCATGCAGGGCAACTTGGTGGCCGTCTGCCCGAGGGTCGCTCGTGACACCGCGTGGCTGGGCACGCGCCTCAGCGGCGGCCATGACTCTCCGCCCGGCGAGGAGGACGAGGCCCGCGCGGGGGCTACGAAGCTCGTCGTCGCCGCCCACAAGGCCACGCCGGCCAAGCATGTCCTGAAGGAGTACTTGTTCTCGTCCCTCCCTTGTTTGCCAGGGGCGCGCCAGGCGGGCAGGAAACACGCCTCTAAGTGGCAAAACCTGATCGATGCTCTGGAGAAGTCCCCCGTGGTCCTCTTCCAGCGCTCCGACGCCAACGCGGTGCGGAAGCTCCTGGTCAACTACGACAGCATGGTCGAAGCCATGGTCGCGACTGGGGGCGATCAGGCGTTCGGGAGCTGGAGCGACTGGGGGTCCCCGTTCGACCACATCGATGCCCAGGCCAACCTGACGCAGGACGGAGCCGTGGAGTGGTACAGCATGATCCTGGAGAACATGGAAGATGTCACTGGCCGCGAGGGCAGGCTGGCCACGGACTTCAAGTGCACGGAAAGGCCAGACTTTATCGCCCTGACGGAGCATGCGAAGACTGGGACCGATCGGGGGCAGAAGATGCTGGAGGCGTACCTGCAGAGGTGCGATGACGCCTGGGTGGCCAACGGGGAGGACTCTGTCGTCAGTTTGCAGGTGCCGTACCAGACGAAGGAGTGGTACAAGCGGAAGTTTGCGCGCGGGCCTGCTGGGCAGAAACTGTCTCGCGAGGCGAGGAAGGTCGCTTTCCCTGACCACGTGGGCTCCGACGCTCCGTGCTGCCACCCGCGGCTCTTCAAGGTAGCGCTTCAGCGGGCGGGCGTGTACTCCGAGGAGCGCTTCCCCATGCTCGCGCGCGTGCGCCGCTTCTACAAGCAGTGGAGGTCCGCGCTGTCGCAGTATCTCGGAGTCCCAGTGGAAGAGGCGAAGGTGGAGATCATCAAGATCTTCTATGGAGCCAGGCCCGTGGCCCAGGTACCGTGGCTCCTCAAGCTCTGCAGCGAGGTCAAGGACGGCGTGGCCGCCGTGCTGGCGCACGCCGAGTTCGGCGCCTACAGACAGCTGTACGCCGACAGGCCGTCTCCCGATTACAGTCGGATCGCGGCCGTCCTGTCCCAGCTGGAGGACGACGCTCTCATGATCCTCATCGCGAACCTCCGCCGCATTGCGGCCACCACCAGCGAGGTGCTGCTCTTCGACGGCTGCCTCGCGCTGGCGACCTGCTTTCAGCAGGAGGCCCTGGTGCGGCTGGCGGTGGCCACTGCGAAAGCGGCCTCCTGCGTCGAATTCGCTATCCAGTCCTGGCCGAGCAACTCGCCCGATCGTCTGGGCGTTGCCGTCCTGCACGGTTGCGGGTCCGAGATCAGTCTCCTCCTCACCCCCGAGCCAGACCAGGGCAACTTCCTCCTGACGGCGGCGTGGTGGGCGGGCATGGGCGCCACGATGGAGGACCTCTCTCCGGAGGACCTGGCAGTCCTGACAATGCAGGAGGTCAACGACAATTCTCTCTACAGCTCCCAGAGGAACAACTCCGCCATGACCTTCTTCGCCCCCACCCACGAGCACGTCATTTTCGAGGAGGTCCACTCTGGCCGCTCGTTCGTGGTCCTGGAGGACCCCTGCCGCGAGGGCACGCCGAGGCACGCATACGGCCTGCGGTGCAGCAACAAGGAGCTCGGGCTCTTCGACCCCGCGGCCCCATCGCTCGTGCAGGTGATGCAGGCGGAGTACTACCTGGAGAAGGCCCAGGGCCGCAACCTGGTGTACTACATCCTGGAGCGCAGGGCTGCCCCTGGGGCGCCCACCCCGCGCGCGCCCCCCTGAGGTCGGAACGGAGACAGCGAGGCCGTTTACTTTCTCCCCCATTGCTATTTCTCACACTCCACCTGCCCACGAGCTCTCTCTCTCCGCCCCACCGCTGCACACCCGCCACTCCGAAGTGTGCATGCGTTTTGTGCGTGTGTTTGTTTCCAGTCATCGGCCATGTACACTACCGCCGCCACCGACGCGCCGAGCTTCGCGGTAATTCGCGGGCCCTGGAGAAACACTATCGCATCTTTGCTTCAGCCAGGCGGGCAGCGCGCCGCGCTGCCAGCAGCGGTCCCTTTTGCCATGATTGCAGACATAATCGAACTCAGCGAGGCCACCCTGAAAACCAAGAAAGATTACATCATTATTATCAATCAGGGATCGTCGCTCAGACTCCCCGCCATCGCAAGGGCGCCCCTTGTCGTAGCTGCGCCTGTTGGCCCCATGTCTGATCGGTGCACGCTCAGAGACCGACCCGATATCGAGTCGCCGCCGCAGGCGTTCAGGCTCGAGATCGTCGGGCCGCGGCCCGTCGCCGCGCGCACTCGCTGACCCCCGGCTCTGCGCCGTTGTGCGGCCTGAACTACAGATGGCGGCCCCTTCGGTGGAGGATGAGGCCTGGCGCAGGTTCACAAAGGGAGAGGCGGTGGCCGCTCGCCCGAACTACAGCGGCGAGGACCTCAAGGACAAGTTTACCAACAGCACCAAGACGGTCGAGGAAAACAAAGCGGACAAGGGGCCTGCTGGAGGGGCCAGCGCGGACGACGAGGTGAGCAAGACGTTGCAGAGACGCTTGGAGCCGAAGATCAACTCTGACGCCTCGGTCCCCTGAGGCCGCGCCCTCTCTCGGAGTAGTTGCGCGCGTGATACCAGCAATGTTGTGTCCGCTCCTGCACCCGCCTCCTCCCGCTCACCTACTCCTGGCCGTCCGCGCGCGTGCTTGCAATCGTGCGCGAGCTGTCGGGCCCGCTAGAAAAAAAGATTATGCCCCATTATGCCGCGATCGCCCCTGGACCTTTCCAGCAATCGACTGCCGCGTGCGCAGCGGCGTCTACACGCCCCCGTGTAGCCCA